GGGCTAGGGGACTACCGATAGTGGTGTATAGACTGATGGGCACCTTCCGGGCTTATTGGGGATTGAGTAGGTGGTCTTGTGTGCTGTTTGTACATGCTGAGCTTATGGGGGCTTGGTTAGGTTTTTGTTTAATTATTTTTGATAAGTTATGATTTAGGAGCAGGTCGGTACACTTATCGTATCCTTGATCTATTTATCGCATTATTCTAGTATAATAGGATACCTTCTCATAGTTTATTGCCTTTCATACTCTGTACACTATTTTGTATTGAAGCCCCATTGCCTGGGGGCGTTGCATTCATGCATGTAGGTCCCGACAGACGACCCTGTAAACCTCCTCACTAGCAGTATTGACTTTTATTCGGTTGGCTAGCCCCTTTCCTCCGGAGCTGCCGGAGTTTGGAGGTTTGTTAGTTTTTGGTGTATATATTTTTATGGGTAGGCAGGGGCCCTGTCCCGCCAATCTGTACTACTCTTAGAGGCTTGCAGACTAGTGTGTGGGGTGTGTAGCTACGTCATGGCCATGCTGGCCTAGTTTGTTGGTTTGCTGGAGCTTGTGAGCTGTTTGATGTATTGTCTTGATATATACATGTTTTCAGCTTTGGTATGGAGATTATGGTGTCCTCGACGGCCCAATTATGACTTCTTTTCTAGTTGGCTATTTCTTTATATGAACTCTTGGAGTAGCTGTTTCGTTTATAAATTTGTTGACAGGAGCCTTACTAGTTGAAGGCTTAGTTTTAAGCCGAGATATACTTGTTTGTTTTCATGATTACGTGTGGCTGTCATGCACTAGTAGCAAATGGTTCAGCAGGGTCGGCCCGGGCTTGAGTTTTGGCATTTCGAACCAGTTGCTCCCTTGAGTTTGGAGGGTGACAAGCTTGGTATCAGAGCAACGTCGTATCCTCAGGAGTCTGCAAGCCGTGTCTAGTATAGTCTTGTTTGTAAATGTGTTGTGCACCACATTCGAGAAGCAAGAAGCTACCGGGTATGTTAGAATGACTATCCTTCTTGTGCTCACCTCGTGCAATAGAGTAGTGTTTTAAGGGTTGGTGTTTCTGGCTTATAATTGATATTTGTATGCAGATAGAGATGGCCGACACCAGACAGACCACAGCTAGCCAAGGGCTAGATATAACTGTAGGCGAGGGTACCGACAATGTACCACAGGTGGAGGTAGCCATTGTGAGACCCAGAGGAAGACATCTTCTCAGCCTCCTATAGGTTCTCAATCGCTTTAGGAGCCTCTGAGGGTTACAAGATCCCAGCTCCACCAGTAGTACCACCTTTAGTTCCTCCTATTCCATCTGACGAGAATTTCAAGAGTGTAGTATGTATGTTAGAACAGTTAGTAGCTACACAACGCCAACCAGTTGTGCCAGATGTTGTCGGAATTTCTGAAGGGCCCGAAAGTTCAATAGTTCGTGAATTTCTTGCCTTGAATCCTCCACAGTTTACAGGGACAGATCGCAGAGAGGACCCTCAAGACTTTGTTGATCAGCTTCATAGGATCTTTAAAGTCATGCACGCCTCAACGAGTGAGTTAGTTAAGTTAGCAACATTTCAATTGCGCGATATTGTAGGATTGTGGTAGGAAAGTTGGGAGAGATCTAAGGGTAATGATGCAGCTCTATCCACTTGGGATGGCTTTACAGAAGCTTTCATAGATCATTATTTGCTTCGAGAGATTAGGGATGGCCGGGTGGACCAATTTCTAAACCTCCGACATGGCAGCATGAGTGTCCAAGTGTAGGAGCTGAGATTTGATTCATTGGCTAGATATGCACCAACATTTGTTGATACAATGCATGACATGGTGCGTAGATTTGTGGGAGGGCTTAACTCAGACTATATCGATGCTTGTTCTACCGCTGTACTAAATGATAATATGGAAATCTCGCGAATTATGGCCTTTGCACAGGGAATAGAGGATCACCGACATCTTCATTATATGAGTAGGAGGGTTGAGAGAGAGAGAGAGACATAAGAGGGTTAGGCCCATTGTGTCACAGGGAAATTTTTAGGTTGGTCCCAGACCCCGATATTCTATTAGGCCACCTGAACCTCTACCACAACTGTTCCAGGGTAGTAGATTTGATCGTCAGGGATAGTCAGGCCCAGGTGAGGGTTCACGAGCATCAAGATGTCAGCAGCAGTGGGGTTCAGGCTAGGCTAGGACAGCCCCGCCGCATTGCGCTATTTGCGGTAGGATTCATTTTGAAGATGCAAGCAGGGTTCCACAAGTTTTTATTCTTGTGGACAGGAGGGGCATGGGTGGACAAACTATCCTACCATAGGTCAGGGTGGTATAGGTTAGTCGGCCAGGTCAGTAGGTTCCTACTCATCAGTATAGTCTACAGGGCGTGGAACCGAGACTCCAACATGTAGAGGTAGAGGTGGAGGCAGAGAGGGAACATCTAGTTCTGGTAGTGGCCAGAACCGTATATATTCACTAGCTAGCCGACAAGACTCAGAGTCATCACCAGATGTTGTGACAGGTACATTGATTGTTTGCTCCCATTGTGTTTATGCTTTGATAGATCCTGGATCTACTATGTCTTATGTTACTCCATTTATCGTGGGGCACTTATGTATAGTAGCAGAGTCATTAGATCGATCCTTTATTGTATCTACACTAGTTGGTGAGTCTATTATTGCCAGGAGAGTCTATCGAGGTTGCACGGTAGAATTATCGACCGTTAGACCTCTGTAGACATCGTAGAGTTAGAAATGGTCAATTTTGACGTTATTATGGGTATGGACTGGTTAGCATCTTGTTATGCTAATGTTGAGTGTTGGTCAAAGATTGTTAGATTCCACTTTCTAGGAGAGGCAGTTTGAGAATTAAAAGGCGATACAGCAACACTGAAAGGTAGGTTTATTTCCTATCTTAAGGCGAGGAGGATGATTACTAAGGGTTGTATTTATCATCTTGTTCGTGTTTATGACATAGATCCAGAACCACCGATACTTTAGTCTATTTCGGTAGTTAATGAGTTTCTAGATGTATTTCCAGACGAGCTCCCTGGTATCCCTCCAGAATGGGAAATTGATTTTGCTATTGATATGCTACCAGGTACACAACCCATATCTATCCCTCATTATAGAATGGGTCATGCTGAGCTAAAGGAGTTGAAGGATCAACTGAAAGACTTGTTGGATAAAGGCTTTATCAGGACTAGTGTTTCACCATGGGGTGCGCTAGTGTTGTTCGTGTGGAAGAAAGATTGATCACTATGATTATGTATCGATTACCAACAGTTGAATAAGGAGACTATAAAGAATAAGCATCCCCTTCCGAGGATCGATGACTTGTTTGATCAGTTACAAGGTGTTGAGTGCTTCTCAAAGATTGATTTAAGATCAGGGTACCACCAGATACGTGTTCAGGAGAAAGACATTCCAATGACAACTTTTAGAACCAGATATGGACACTTTGAGTTCTTAGTAATGTCTTTTGGATTAACTAATTCCCCAAAAGGGTTCATGGACTTGATGAATAGCATATTCAGGCCATATCTAGATACGTTTGTGATTATATTTATTGATGATATTTTGGTCTATTCGCATTCAAAAGCTGAGCATGCAGATCACTTGCGAGCAGTCCTTCAGGTTCTTTGAGAGCAGGAACTTTACGCAAATTTCTCTAAGTGTGAGTTATGGTTGAGCTCTGTGGCTTTCCTAGGCCATATCATATCAGATTCCGGCATTATGGTTGATACACAAAAGATTGAGGCCGTCAAGACTTGGCCCAGACCCGTGACTCCGACTGAGGTGCGTAGTTTCTTAGGATTAGCTGGGTACTACAGATGGTTTGTAGACGTGTTTTCTTCACTTTCAGCACCATTAACGAAGCTGACTAAAAAATGGCTAAGTTTCAGTGGACTGAGGCTTGCGAGCGTAGTTTCCAGGAACTGAAAGATAGGTTGACATCAACACCAGTTCTAGCATTGCCAGACGGTTCAGAGGGCTATGCGGTGTATTGTGATGCCTCTGGTGTTGGGTTGGGATTTGTTCTAATGCAACATGGTAAGGTTATCACATATGCTTCAAGGCAGTTTAGGAAGCATGAGAAGAACTATCCGACCCACGATTTAGAGTTGGCTACAGTTGTGCATGCGTTAAAGATCTGGAGACACTATTTGTATGGCGTTCATGTTGACATTTTCACAAATCATTAAAGTCTTCAATATATCTTTAGACAGAAGGAGTTAAATTTACGACAACGTCGATGGCTTGAATTACTGAAAGACTACGACGTGGATATTTTATATCATCTAGGAAAGGCAAATGTGGTAGCGGATGCCCTCAGTCGAAGATCTATGGGTAGTTTGTCCTATTTAGGTGTTGAGAAGCGGGAGTTAGCATGAAAGCTTCATTAGTTAGCTAGCTTGGGAGTCAAATTGTTATAGGTAGACGATAGTGGGGTCACAATTCAAGACACAGCTGTATCATTTCTAGTTGTGGAGGTAAAATCACGGTAACAAGAAGATCCTAACTTAGAGCATCTCCGATCCAAGGCCCATCATCACCAGTCTTTAGCATTTGATATAGTAGGAGATGTAGTCCTCAGATATAGTGGTCGATTGTGTGTTCTAAAAGTTGTAGGGTTTAGACATCGGATTACGGAAGAGGCACATCATTTCTGTTATTCTATTCACCCTGGTTCAACGAAGATGTACCATGATATTAAGGAGATCTATTGGTGGAACAAGATGAAGAAGGATGTTGCTGAGTTTGTGGCACAGTGTCCTAACTGCCAACAGGTGAAGGTTGAGCACCAAAAACCCGCTCGGCTAGTTCAGGAGATAGCCATACCTTTATAGAAGTGGGAAGCAATTGATATGGATTTTATTACAGGGTTACCTCGAACGCGTCGCAAGTTTGACTCTATTTGGGTAATTGTTGATAGACTAACAAAATCAACCCACTTCTTACCAGTCAGGGCTACTTTTAAGGCCGAAGACTATGCAGGGCTCTATATTAGAGAGATTGTTAGGCTACACGGTGTCCCAGTATCTATTATCTTTGATAGAGGAGCACAATTTACCGCCAACTTCTGGAAGTCCTTCCAGAAAGGACTGGGGACAAAGGTTAATCTTAGTACAGCCTTTCACCATCAGACAGATGGCCAGGCTGAGTGCACAATTTTGACACTCGAGGATATGTTACGAACGTACGCACTGAACTTCTAAGGAAGTTGGGATGACCACTTGCCTCTTATTGAGTTTGCATACAATAATAGTTATCATTCTAGCATTCGGATGGCACCTTATGAGACTTTGTATGGGCAAAAATATAGATCCCCCATTGGATGGTTCGAGGTAGGTGAGTCAGGGTTGATTAGACCCGACTTAGTACAACAGACAGTGTAGCAGGTTAAGCTCATTCAGGAGAGGTTGCTAACAGATCAAAGCTGACAGAAGTCATACTTAGATGTACGGCGAAGGGACTTAGAATTTTGTGTCGATGACTAGGTATTCTTAAAAGTCTCTCCTATAAAGGATGTTATGAGATTTGGCAAAAAAGGCAAGCTTAGTCCAAGATTCATTGGGACATACCAGATCCTTCGGAGGGTAGGACAAGTGGCTTATGAGCTAGAATTGCCTTCGGGGCTAGAATCTGTTCATCGAGTTTTCTATGTAACGATGCTAGGGAAGTACATAGGAGACCCTTTTCGGGTTGTCCTAGTTGAGGATGTTCATATCACAGAAGAGTTGTCCAATGAGGAAACTCCAATTGCCATATTAGATTGGCAGGATCATAAATTGAGGACCAAAGAGGTGGCTTCAGTTAAAGTATTGTGGAGAAACAAGAATAGAGAAGAGGTGAGCTGGGAAGCTGAGGATGGCATGAGGTCCAAATATCCTCACTTGTTTCATACCCCAAGGTGATGGCATATCAATTTATATTAGTGTAGTGAGGTTAGATACCTATATAATTTTTTTTTATATATTGTTGCTTACAATTATTGTTGTTGTCGTTGTATATTTGCTTGCACTGTTATTGCGGAGTTATAGTGCTTAGCTATTTATGTCATTCTCTAAGATGCCTAGGTTAGAATTTCTGCATTCCAGGTTCTTGGATAGTCACATTTAAAAAGGATACTCTACCTAAATTTTGGCAATTCCGAAGGACTTAACCGTGTGACTCAAATTTTTCATTCGAGGACGAATGTTTCTAAGGGGGGAAGGATGTAACACCCCGACTTTTCGAAATGTCTAAATTGACTCGTATCTTCGTGGAAAGACCAGGAGGGTGGGTAATAAATTAAGAATGATGTGTTATGTGATATTTTAAGTGTTCAAGGGTTGTATCTCAAGTTTTTAAGTTAGTTAAGTGGCAAAATAAAAGTTGGCGAAAGTTACCGTAAATTCCTTTTTAAAGATATGTCTGATATTTGGGTCAAATGTCTTGGAAATTTTCTCCCAATCTATAAAGAGCTATGGTTCCCACGACTTATGAAATCGAAGGTCTACGAGTCTAGTGTCCAATGCATCAACCCGTTTGTTCATACGACTTCAAAATGGAGAGATATTCTCATTTTTGCAAGACTGCGCAAGCAGGAAGGTGAGGTGGGTCCCCTAGTCGGTGGAACTTTATTTATATCATCTTGTTCGACTTTTCTTCATTTTTCCTTCATTTTTCTTAGTAAATAACCAGAAAACTCACAAAACCCATTTCTAGGATCAGCCAAATTACAGATTTTCGTGACTTAAGTCCTTGACAAAAGTTGTTCTACGCGTTGAGCTCGTCAATATGGTATAATTTGTTTTATCGATTTCCTAGCATATCATACTTTGGTGTGTGGATAGCAACGGTTTGGGCATATTTTAAAGTTTTGAGGTGTATTATGAACTTAAAATCAAGGTAAGACCTTTAAAATTCTTCCACCGACTCTAGGTTTGATAAGTCACAAATAGCAATTTGCGACGAAAATACATATCTTTTATCAGATTATCGTGGTATCCTCTATTCTTTTGTGTTGATTATGGTCCTGCCTTGTTGTAGTATCAAGGAGGGTTGTGAGTAAAGTCGTTAGGCCACGTGAATTCAGCGAAAAAGGTATTTTAAGGCTATTCCTTACTTACGGCATGTTTCCTTAAAGCTTAGGAGCAATGTAATTGGGTTGTTATCCTTGTTATACTTGTAGCCATTATTGTTGATTATTGGCTGCTAGAGTTGATATAATCCTCCCTTGTTGGGATTCTTATTCAGTTACTAGCATCCCTATGTTGGACACGACTTAGAGGCTATTTTTATAGGGTGCTCATAACGAAATTGCTCGCTTTTAGTGATTGGATTGTTATTGTTGCTCTTGGGCTATTGTGGTTAGCTGCAGGAATGAGATCTATGCCTAGAAGGGCTATGTTCTGCCTACGGGGAAATATGGATGCCTAAGAGGGCTATGAGTTGCCTATGGGTCTATATTGATGCCTATAAGGACTATGAGTTGCCAACAGGGCGATATTGACGCCTAAGAAGGCTATGTGTTTCCTATAGGGGCATGTTGTTGCCTAAGAGGGCTATGAGTTGTCTATAAGCTATGTTGATGCCTAAGAGAGATATGTGCTGCCTACGGGGCTATATTAATGCCTAAGAGGGTTATGTGACTGCCTACGGGACTAGGGGACTACCGATAGGGGTATATAGACTGATTGGCACCTTTCAGGCTTATGGGGGCCGGAGTAGGTGGTCTTGTATGCTGTTTGTACTTGCCAAGCTTATGGGGGCTTTTTTAGGTTGTTGTTTTTACTATTTTTTATAAGTTTAGATTTAGGAGCAGGTCGGTACACTTATCGTATCCTTGATCTATTTATTGGATTATTCCAGTATATTAAGATACCTGCTCATAGTCTATTGCCTTTCATACTCTGTACATTATTTCGTATTGATGCCCTATTGCTTGGGGGAGCTGCATTCATGCATCCAGGTCCCGACAGATGACCCAATACACCTACTCAGCAGCAAGATTGACTTTTATCCGGTTGGCTAGCCCTTTTCCTCTGGATCTTCCAGAGATTGGAGGTTTGTTAGCTTTTGTTGTATATATTTTTATGGGTAAGCTGGGGCCCTGTCCCGCCAATCTGTACTACTCTTAGAGGATTGCAGACTAGTGTGTGGGGTGTGTAGCTACGTATGGCCATGCTGACCTAATTTGTTAGTTTGCTGAAGCTTGTGAGCTGTGTGATGTATTGTCTTGATATATACATGCTTTCAGTTTTGGTATAGAGATCATGGTGGCCTCGACGGCCCAATCAGGACTTCTGTGCTAGTTGGATATTTCTTTATATGTACTCTTGGGAGTAGCTGTTTCGTTTATAGATCTGTTGACAGGGGCCTTGCCGGCCGAAGGCTTAGTTTTAAGTCGAGATATACTTGTTTTTTTCTTGATTGCGTGTTGCTGCCATGCGCTAGTAGTAAATGGTTCAACAGGGTCAGCTTGTGCCTGAGTTGTAGCATTAGGAGCCAGTTGCCCCCTTGAGTTTGGGGCGTGACAAGTACACTGTGGTTGTGTACTGATACTGCACTTGCTCTTTATTTGTTGATTACAGAGCATCTTTAGGTGGCTACTGACAGAACTCATTTAGAAGACCAGTGATTGATTCAAATTCAAGGGTGAGCCAATTTTTCCAGGCTGCCATGAGTTCTCGTTATGTTTAGTCCATTTCTATTCGGACTTAGACTAGTACATTAGATCTTCTTATGTTTAGTTTGGGGTTGCACCCATTTTCTTAGACTTGTCGTTAGTAGATATTTTGGTACATTGATTTTTAGGTTCTAGGCATTAATTCCGTAATTGTTTTGTTAGACTTTTGAAGTTTATGGGAACTCCCTATTTTTCCTTTAGTTCTGCATTTAAACCTGCTTCCATATCTATAAATGTATTTAGTTGGTTAGTTCTTGAGTTAGCTAATTAGTTTTAATGGTTCTCCCACCGGAGGGTTAGTGTGGGTGCGAATCACGGTCGGGGTCGTGACAATTTAGAACTCGAATATGTATAAACATTCCAAATCAAATATGACTTTCTAATTTTTGATTTATAACATTAGATTTCTAACAATATGTAAGAAATAATTAAAATATTATTTAAAAATAAAAGAATCAAATACGGAAAAAAAAATAAAAATTCCTAATATAATTAATTAACAAAATATTTTTCCATATATATAATAATTTGTGATTGATAAGGTATATCTATCAATTGATTTTCTTTCTATTAGTTGATTTTTATTTTTGTTGTTATCCTTCTTCCTATTTCTTTCTTCTACGTTATTCTCAATCAGTTGGTAAAGATTTTTAAAATTTCATCACTAAAAAGTAAAAGAGTTTTTCCAAATCTTGATTGAACATGCAATTTTTTTCTGATTCAATCAGTTTATTATTTATTTATCTTTTACTTTTTTTATAAGTTCTTTGCTTTGATGTTGTCTTTTATTTTCTTAATCTAAAATTTGATTTTTTAGAAATAAGGATTCTGTTTTTTAGAAAATTTAATTTAATTTTTACTTTTTTTATTATGTTCTGGAACTTTATTTTTGAGAAATAAAAAATATTTTTCTGAAATTTTGATTTCATTTTCGGTGTGCTATAGGGAGTGAGTTGTGTAGTGAAATAAGGAAGGGATAAACATTAGTTGGGGAGTTAGGATTTATATATCAAACGTTTGGGGTTTGGGAGTAAAATAAGAAATTTTGGAAAATTTTAAAACTGGTAGGGAATAATGGAAATTATGAAAAAAAAAGTGTGTATATAGGTAATTTATCCTTAATGTAATACCTTTTATGAACATGTGATCCCTTATGTTTCTTCAAATTTATTGTCAAGTGACAATATAATAATAATTACATGAAATACGCTCTATAAAATTCCTTTAGTATTTATAAATACTATTAATTTGAATTGTTGGTTGGGAAATGAAGATTCATTTTTTTGTGAAAGATGCCCAAAATGGGCTTTTTATTAAAGACTAGATTTACCGCACGTGCGTTGCACGTGGCTGCCTAGTCTCGTGATGCCTACAATTGTGAATGAGTAAATCATGAAATCTCCATTTGTTCAATTACTCCATTAAGTCCGGCTAATTGGCATGTATTAGATGCACTTAATGGTGCCAAAGCTCTATCTATAAGAGGATATGTAATATTGGACAATGCCACATTTGGTTCATGTTATGACATTGTTCCAAAATATAGGATACCTTCTAGGAGTATGAAGTCATTTGTATCCTAATTAACAATATAAAAGTTTTCACAATAGTTGCATCTCCTTCATAAGTTGCATTTCGATGGTTAGCTCGTCTCTTTAACAATTGAACCTAGAAATATAAGCCAAGACATTTTGATTAGCTTCATGTCATGTGTTAGTTTTGTTGCAAATTCATTACGGTAAAAAAGTTTGAGAACTTGTCTAACCTAATACTTCCTTGTATACGATATTTCTTGTATATGTCCCTGTCTTAATATCTGGTTGTTCAGTCATAACCAATACCTTTGTTGTTGCCATTGAAATTCCTCTTGATACTGCTACATATAGTTGCCCATGCGAGAAAACATGTTGTGGAAGATACAATCCAACATTAGGAATTATTTGACCTTGAGCCTTATTTATCGTCATTGCAAAACATAGACGTATTGGAAATTGCTTCCGAATAAACTTAAAAGGATATCCTTCATTCTCAGGTGGTGATAATTGGATTCTTGGTTTGAACAATTATTTTGTTGCATATTCTCCTGTCGTTATTTCGGCATGTATGACATTGTTGTCAAAACCTTTACAAAATCAATCGTGTCCCATTGCATAAACCATTTGATGGGTCTAACTTCCTCAACATCATGATAGGTGTATTTTCTTTCAAAACTAATCTAATATGTTGAATTCAAAGATACATAATATGTTATGTATTTTACCAAACATGTGTTGTTGAGATGGTACACAGATTGAAACTAATATAATATTATAAATGTTATCGATTGATTGAGTATAGTGATGTACCTATGTGGCGGTAGACCATTCAGAGTTAATGTATTCAGGTATTCTTCTTGATAATAATTGTTGGTATCGTCTTCTGCCGAGTCAAAGCTGATATATGTTTTCGTTTCTCCCGGGAATTGAGTGATCATCATTTCATTTATATTGTCTACAAATTCATTTCGGCTTGCTAAGATTGCCCTTTCAGTAATAAACTTTGCTGATCTGTAATTCTGTTGTAGCCCTTTAAAAATTTCCCTTACCAAGCATTCTTCTGGCTTTCCCTGACCACTTGGGTGGACCACCATTTGTTGTGGTAGTAGTATTAAATTATCCCGTATTGTGGTTTCCTCCCCGTTTCCAACTCGAAGCAAGAAGGCACTAAAATTTGGATCTGCTCTAGCTCTCATGCTGGACGTTAAATGAATCTTTTCCATCAAAGGCCACAAATATAACCTCACCAAACTTGCATTCACTGTCTCTACTCGCGTTGATTTAGGAACCACCGATAGCACTTGTCGAAATTCACCTCCAAAGACCATTACTTTTCCACCAAAAGGTACATTCTTGTCCATTATATCACGAAAGCTTCTATCGACAGTTTCAATTGTGTGTCTCTTAGCCATTGGCGCTTCGTCCCATATTATTAGTTTGGCTTGTCTAATAAGTTTAGCCCCGCCACTTTGTTTTGACATTTGTCATTGTTGATTCATTAGCTTGTAGAGGATTTCAAATCGCGAGTGAGCTGTACGGCCTCCCGGTAAGATTGCTGCTACTACTCCGCTGCTGGCGGATGCCAATGCTATCATACCTCTTGATCTAATAAGTGCCAGCAATGTGCGATATAGATATGTTTTTCCAGTTCCACCTACTCCGTCTACAAAGAATAATTCTGGTGTTCCAGAGTTGGCCCTTTCCAAGATAGTCTTGAAAGCTTGTGCTTGTTGTTCATTCAAGTTTGATTGTGCCTCCATATCTTCCATTGGCACCTTCACAGACATTTCTTCGATTATTTCTCGGCATTCATATGTGTCACACTTATTTAATTCTTGTTGGATTTGTGGCATATCAAATTTTGCAACACTCTGACCCATACTCTCCAAGTATATATTTACACTTTGCAATGTACTCTGGAGTTTTGTCTCGGGTGATTTGTCATGGGTCCTTTGAATGTCTTCTGACATATAGTTATAATATGTTTCCCATAGTCATCTCACATCTGTTGGGTTGGAATGAACTAAGATTGTCGCAAACAGACTTCGAAGAACTATAGGCATCTTGAAGATTACGGCCTCGCGTAAACATTCTGAAATGCTATCATCTGATTCTAATAAGCCTCTTTCTTTGGCAGCTTCTTTGAAAGTATGACAATGTAACCCATTAACAGTGAGTAAGTCTTCAAATGATGTCGGACCTCAAACATGATTAAATAATAATCTCTCGTAATACCTTTCACCTTCTCTAGGATTAGCTGTGATATCGGGCAGCCTAGTTAGGTTACCACAAGTCATAAAGAGCACATAATGAAGGTAGTACTTACCAATATTTATTCTGCCGATCACAGAGCGTGATTTTCTTTTAGTCCATATTTTAGATTGGGAATTCCAAACATAATGCTTGGGGAATTCTCTATATAGATAATTGCGAGCCTCAGTGACATTCAAGCACATCCTGAAATACTCAGTAAGCATAGTTTGTTGAACAAACTGGGAGCCTGCAATATTTTGAAGATTTTGCTTCTTCCAGTAGTAGACTACATTTTAAAACATAAGGTTCTTATTAATAATAATGGCCTTGGTTGGAGAAATGTGACTCTTGTTTATACTATGTGAGAATATGTTTAAGAGTGCCTGCTTGTTTGCCGGGTAGATGTAGTTGTAGGTTTATAACAGCCAGTTGCATTTCGCTTAGAGTAAACTCGTAAATCTTCCACATCGCTTCTGGTGGTAACACCCAACGTGCATCTTGAAAGCTGTGGATTTCATCTATGAACTTTTCACCATCGTCTGACTCTATGTAAACTACACATTTATCACGTCCTTTATATATATACTTGTACAGGTACTTTATTGCTTTAACACCTGAGCAAACCTCTACATTAATGTGACAATTATATCTCTTCAATAAATATGGGTTATAAGGGACAATCCACTAATTATTCATCTTCATACCTCGGACCTCACTTGTCCTCCCATCATTTCTTCTTCGGTAAATCAGATATCCATCCCTCCATTGTATTGTTTTGTTGTTGAATGCTCGAGGGTAGTGAAACTTACATTGTCCGTCCTTCATACATGGACTTGATTGTCGTTTTATACCACAAGGCCCGTGAATCATATGTCTAATAACTAATTCATGTAATTATGGTGGCTTATCTTTTGTAGGCAACTCTGCTGAAATATATCGATCATATCGATCTGCTGATCTTATTTTATGACCTTCTTTTGATATTAGTAGTAGGTGTATATGTGGTAGTCCTCTCTTCTAGAATTCAACCACAAAAACATGTGCTGCCGTAGGGCCAAAAATCTCCTTTTTAAATATTTGGTCTTTTAGGTCCTGTAATTTTGCTCTAAACACTCTGGTCACCAAATCTGGCCGATCTTGAGCGACTTGCCCCACACATAGTTGTTCTTGAATCTCTGTCCATTCAAGGTTACACGTCATGGTGATAAATAGATCTGGTCTTCCAAACTCTTGAACCAGAGCCATAGCATCCATATAGTGTCGTCGCATATCCCTAGGGCCTCCAATGAATGATCCTGGCAGTAAGACCCTCTGACCAACATTCTCTCCTCTACATTTTCCTGACGTAACACTATCAACGATACCTTGTAATATCTCTCTTCTGTAATTTGATTGTTCGAATCTGTAATATTCAAGTCGTGTGGTTTCCAATTTGATGTACATGTCCACTACAAATTGTTGTAACAATCTACCACATAGTAACAAAATTGTTTTCTCATTTGTTCGTACTTGTAGTTTATAGCAGTAGTACTCTCTGCAGGAAACGCAATTGTTTTTTCGCGGCGTACACCTACAAATAATTTAAATAAGTTTAGTTTGGAGTTCAGTTTATCAAAAAGTGTGTGGCCTTCTATGAATGTAATATTATTACAATATCACGTTCACAAACATATTGTAATAGAATGTTTTTTTACACGTATGTGTGAAAATTTTCCACCTTCATTGGATTTAGTCACAGACCTGTTGGAATATGATATTTCAAGCCATTACATATCTTGATGTTGTTTCATATTTGTTGCCATATATTTCCTCTCCATATGAAGTTGTTAGTTGCAATATTAATTGAGTTTGTTATTTTACTATGTGTGGTGTGTGAATTACTTGAATGAATGTAGAATGTAAATGTGCTAACCTTGTTCTTCATTGTTCAAAACCTCTGTTGCACTGGCATATGATCGAGGGCATATATTGGCACTTGTTGTTGCATCTGTAGTACTGCCGATATTTGGATTGCGTGATTTCACTATTCCTTGATGCCAATCTCCTTTGCCATTGGGTAGAATCAATGGATATTGTAAAGGATCATAACAACCATAATAATGTTTTACTCGATGTTTGTTCCCAGAATGTTCGTGTACTACAATATCTCTTTCAAACAGGATATTTGGATTGTTTCCATCAACCCAAATTGCTGCAACTTGATCCACCGAAGGTTTGTAATACACCCGTTGATCTAAAGAAGCATTTGCAGCTATGCGTATTACTATGTTCTCAAAACTTGAATGGTGTTTGAGTTGTGTAAAAAATTCAGCATACGGATTTTGCTCCATTATTTTCCTGATTTTTTCCATGACTTCCTCTGATAAATTTGCATCTTATAGTATTGACATTCTGTTGGCCACTTCATGATCTGTATCATAGAAGTACAGCTGGAAGAAATATGGCATGTCGTCCTTTGGGATTAATGAGGGTAGATCGTGATAGATTTGTCCTTGTGCCTTAAAGCTGTAAATGCCTTTCCTTGAAGACGCCAGTTCTTTGTTGAGTTGTACTCCAAATGATGTAAAAGCAAAGATTCTATTATAGGCTCGAATGTGTTTCCGAAATAACTCAGCCTCTTTTTACTCATCTGTAAATAATTTGTATAAGTCCTCTCCAACTTCGTTGGGTGCCAACTTAATATATCCACTTGCGCAACAAAATGTTGGAGGCTCATATTCAAGCCTCCTGGCATGACAGTAGATGCAATCTAATTGTTTTTGCAGCTTATGAGTAGATGTTGTTGATAAGTTCACATTTGTTTCTCCTGCATTCACAATTCGAAATCAACCTTTTTAGCAAAGAATATTTCTTTGCTGACTCCACTCAAAGGTCTGTAAGTCTTAGGCTACTATATTTTAGTCAATTTACCTTCATTATAGTTCTCCTCTGATAAAGCTTCAAGTAGCCAACTTTTTTTCCGCTTCTTCAACTTTGGTTCAATATATCCAACTTCCTATGGCTTTGTTGAGGCATCATATTTTTGCACCCTGCGCAATGCCCTTTCTACATCTGTCAGTATTTTTCTCTTGTGTCCTATTGAATTTGTGATGTGAGCATGTTAGTATTTTCTCATTCGAAACGATCTTTCTTTCTAAATTAACAGTTAAATTTATGTCATGTATATTTGACCTGTTGTTTTCATCCGCTGATTAGATTGGCATTCCATGTTTTATTATCCTCCCTTTGAGTAATGACTGACCTGTTTGAATATTGTGACTATGTAAATGCATCAATTGTGTGTATTTTTTTCTTAAATAGTCAATCAGGTATAAAATAATGAAAGTAATACATTCAATGTAAACACGGTACCACGTATTGAAGTTATTGTACACCGTACGAAATAATTTATAGGACATCTTCATCATGGTCTGCCCTCACAAGGTTTTTACTAAATATTGATTTACGTATGTGTACAATTGGTACGGGGTAATTTTATTGTGTAGGAATATAGATGTACATCTTTAGTTCATGACAATTCCATACATACGTCATCATCTATGTTTTTATTTTTTTATTCAATGTAGCCCTGATCAACCGACAATCAGAGCATGTTGGTTTAGTTAGTAGAACATCTGCAAGTGCGTTTTCTTTGTAGCATTTACTTATTGTATTTTCATCGTCCTGTTATTTTTTGTGTGTGCATCCCTTAAGTGTGTGTGCAGTTACCTTTGTATCTCTTGTCTTAGGTTACCAGGGTGAAGCAAGTAGTAGCCCGCAGGTTAGCCGAGCAAATCTCGGCAGGGGTGTTTGTTTTCTATCCATGGTGCACACTAGTAGTTTGTTTATGTTATTTTAGTCTCCCAACATGCGCATACCAATTCAGAGATTATTGAGAGAAGTTCACTAAGGTGGAGTAGTAAGAAGATTCAAAAATGGTAAAAAAGAATGATTTGTTACTTACAATTTGCAGTTTGAATTGCCAATTTTCCCCAATAATTCAGAAAATCGTGTAGATGTCCCAGTTCAGTGAAGTTGTACAGATAGTTGTGCAATGTATAACGACAATAGTCTTTTATGAAATGAATGGTGTGATACTCACAGTCTACAGTGGCTGAAACAATGAATATGTGTAGTCAATAGTATTGTAATGGTGCGGCAATATCTTACAAAATTTTCAAAGTTTTTTGTGGTTTTTTAGTTTGATGTGCATTGGCATTTGTTTTAAGGATATCCTTGGCGAACTGGTGGCATTTCTTGAACTGGCCTCTTTTGGGTTTGATTGTAACTTTTCAGGAGGGCGTAAGTTTTTAGGGGGTTGTAACTTCTCTGGAGAGGCGTGATGCTCTAGAGGTGCCATTCATGTCGGCGTCAAATATCGTTCAATTGTACCGTCGTATTAGTGGAATACATTTAAATTCTTATTTTATAGGGTACTCTGTATATACCGTATATTTATTTTTTTGAAGTGTAGTGATTTTTTTTATGTTTTTACGATGTTACTTGCTGTTTTTGAATGTGAATTTGTAGTGAGGATGTTACTATTTTAAATATTCTTTCGGTGATGGGTGTTCCCAGGGGTTCGTGTCTTTTCATATTTTCTTGTTTAAATTGTTAATTTGTAGTTTCTTAGTATTTTTCTTGTTGAGTTTGTCCGTAAATTGGTAAGACCAAACATTACGCGTGTAACAGTTAATCGATATGCAATTCTTAATTCGGCATACTGGATTACCATCTCAAATTTTGCAATTTTTACTGTAACGCTTCGGAAAAGGGATGTGGTATCTAATTTACCACGTAGGCACAGTTCACTATATCTCTCTATTTTACTATCATACCAAATTAACTCATTGCATGAGAGCGTTCCAGGAGAATACATGAAGCAATGTTGTAACCACCTAGAAGTTGGACCAATCTCCGGTTCCACCATCCATGAAAATGATTATTAAAAGTCAGAGCATCTATTACAAAAGAATCTGTTAAGAAATATACCATTAGGAGTCATATCCATGGAAACTTTTTCCTTATTTCCAATAACAAAAATTTCAAAACCAGCATTTGGTTATATATAGGACTGATTATTTTGAATTTCTTTTTTTTGCAGATGAGTTTCAAGTTGAATGCATGTACACAACTTTGATTTCCAAATACAGTTTTCAACTTAACTTCAAATACTACTTTTATTCAAATATCACATTTTTTATGTCCAAACGCCTACTTAAACTTTAGAACTAAATGTCTAACTACTCCAAACAGCAATACCAAACAAGGTTCCGAGACACTTTCACATTTCAACTTTTATTAAGATTCTTTATGTAGAATACAACTTCAAAATAAGTATTACAATACTAAGAGGTGTCACCCAATCAATTTTCTGATGCAAAGAAAATATACAAACATGTTTATCACGTTATCGACATTGGATCTTTTGAAGGTCAATCAGTGGTTCATCGTTGGTTTTTTGAGGTTTGTTTTTGTTATTTGGGTGTGCTGGAACTGTACAATGTTGTTCTATAAGTGTGTAATTACGTTAATCATGTTATTGAGGGAAAACATGTATTTTCAAGTTAAATCGCTATATCACTTTATATTTGTAGTGATTTGGTACAAAAGATTGTTGGACTCTCGATGATGAAATACGTGGTTTAGTAATTGCTTATTTGGTGTGTACATGATAGCGAATTTTGAGAAGCATCCTCCCAAAATGCCTTTTGACTATTACTTTAGTTGATGTATGTACAATGTTATACCATTTAACACAACTATAAGAACTATTTATAATGTGATAATTTCTTAATTTAGTCAATCATATAATCCTTTCAATGTCGAGGAGCATACGTTATTATATTGGAGGGGGAGATAGGACAATATAAAAAGCAACCGAAGCGATTGAGATATTAATTATTAAGGTGCTATTATTTCCATAATTCACATTTAATTAGGTAAGAAAAAACATACATACATTAGCTAAGCAGCCGATGAAGCCAATAAAATACAGATATTACTAACATACAAACATTATGTTGTAGACGTTTCATTATTTGGAGACGGTACGCAATGCTCGGTAACACTATCAAGGAACTCATCCATTATGACTCAATTTCTGTGACCTGATCTTAGTTTTAATTTGGAGATGTTCATCATTGATTTTCTTGTTCCGGCTTGTTGGTGGCATAACGGATTGTACTTCTTCCACTATGTTTGTTGCTTCTTCTCCAACATCATGTATTTCTAGCACATTGGATTTCTTTCCCCTCTTCCTTCGCAGCCTCACGGATTGTACCTCCGACACAATGTGTGGTGCTTCATCTTCAAGGACATGTAGCACATTGAATTTGTTACACCTCTTCCTTTGCGGCCTCACAAATTGGGCTTCTTGCACTATGTCTGGTGCTCCTTCTCCAACATCATGTTTTTCTAGCTCATTGGTTTTTTTGCCCCTCTTCGTTTGCAGTCTCACGGATTGTACTTTCGCCACTATGTGTGGTGCTTCATCTTCAAGGACATGTATCACATTGGATTTCTTACACCTATTGCTTCGCGGCCTCACAGGTTGTGCTTCTTCCATTATGATTGGTGCTTCATCCTCAAGAGCATGTCTTTCTAGTGCATTGGATTTTTTGGCCCTGTTTGTGGGTGGTGTCTGTGATTTTGATTCATCTGCCATTAAAATTACTGCTTCATCTTCAATGGGATGTATTTCCTAGGAAATTAGACTCCTGCGCGGGTTCGAATTATTCATATCGATGCGGACAAGGAACTTGAATTCCTTGTCTTTACTGAACACCAATCTGCAGTAGTACATACTTTCTTCCTTCTATAAGAAACATCAACAATAGGATATATTAGGTTAAAAATAATTCTGAAAGTTAGTCAGACATTTTTTTTGTTGGGATTAAAGTAGGTTTAACTATAGTGTAAGATGGTATAAGTACAGGGCGAACCTTTTCCAAGGTTGTTTTGAAGTAGTCTTCGACATTGCAACCTACTAACATTTGTGCCGCGTCAAATAGTGTCACTCGGGCACGTTGTTCTTCATCACAAACTTCAAGTCGTAAGGAGTATCTTTAAAATAGGGTGAATAAGTTAGTGTTCATAGCTAAACTGGGTGTATATTATCAAAAAATGTTGATTGCTCATTTCAGGCAAGTCTAATCTCATTTCGTACTCCCCATTTTGGATATTGCAATTGGGACACGTCACTGTATCTTGTTTAACTTACACTTTCTTGTGGCACTTTTTGCAGGACGAGTACCATGGCTCTTCTATATTGAGTATGTCTACAATTTTGGCTTTGAACTTGTATAAAGCTTCCTGGACATTATTAATAACCAATATTCAACATTAATTT